TCCCCGGAAAACAGGAAGGCGTGTCCGGGGTGGAGAGGGCGGCTCACCCCCTTCACCGGACGCGAAGGCCAGGCCTCCCGCTGGGAGAGAGGGTGGGAGGCTTTGTTCCCGGAATTCCCGCCTGTGGGCGTCTCTGGGCATCTGGGGGGGGCCCTCAGTTCCCTCCCCTGGCGTGTGCCCAGCCGTGGGGAGCACCGTGTGGGGGACTTGGCCAGCCCCTCTTGTTCTGTTCATGATTTACGGGAACCGCGTGTTTAGGAGCGTCTGGTCCAAAGTGAAATGGATGTTTACAGGTTGATGCTGGTCACTTAGAACAGCCCCGAGGGGAGCAGCTGGGGTGAGTGGGCAGTGAGGGGGGCAGGTCAACAAGCTGGGCCTGGGGGCGGGGGTCCCCACACTTTCCCTCCTCCAGGGACTTCCCTCTGGGCCTGCCCCGGGACACAGGGGGTGAGGAAGCGTCAGGCTCCTACGGGGAGAATTTGGACAAGGGCAGGGCCAGAAGTTCCTGCGTCTGGCGTCTTGGGGGGCTGGGGGGAGGGGCCCAGGTGGAGGGGATCTTGCCACCCAGTAATTCTTTATTTTTATGAATATGTTTTTATTTTCTTAAAAAATATTCTTAAAAATTGATTTCATACAGGAAGGGAGAGGGAGAGAGAGAGATAGAAACATCCATGATGAGAGAGAATCATGGATCGGCTGCCTGCTGCACGCCCCACACTGGGGATGGAGCTCCAAACCCAGGCCTGTGCCCTGACCGGGAATCGAACCCTGACCTCCTGGGTCATAGGTCGACGCTCAACCCCTGAGCCACGCTGGCCGGCTGGATCGCTCTTCCTTAACGGCAGTGAAGCACAAATGCCCCTGTCGTACCCGCGGAGGCCGAGCTCCAGGCACCGGGCACCGTCTGTCCCTCTCAGGTCTGCTCGAATGCCAGCTCCTGGCCTCAAGTTCTGAGTCAAGGCAGCTCCCCTGACGGCCACTGGGGGCCACTGGAGGAAGCAGAGGCGTGGCTGGTGGTGAAGACCTGGAGTCTGGCCGTGGTCCTGGCTGATCAGGGTCCGGTGGCCACACACCCTCGCTGAGGGGGCACCCTTTTCCCAGGTCCAGCCGGGGGGCACCCTGGGTTGCAAGGCCCCCTTTCTCCTACCCACCTTCCCGGGCCTGGGGAAGGGGGCGCCTGGGCTGGCGGAGGGCGCTGGGGGGTCAGGGGCTGGGCTCCCCGGGCAGCTGGGCAGCATACAGGGCCAGGGTGTGGTGCAGGAACTGGTACTGCTCCGAGGTCTGGATCATGCCCCCCCTGTGGGGACAAGCAGGGACCATGAGTCCCCTTCCCGTTGATCCTTCCTCTGCTTCTCTCTCCTTCCTGCTGCTCCTCAGACCTTCTCCCCCATGGGAGCCCCCTGCCCTTGCTCAGGGCTGAGCCTGGGGGCGGGGGTGCCAAGGAGGGGACGCCCCACACTGGCACCTGCTCTCCTCTGACCCAGTGGCTGCCAGGACCCCGATTCCTCAGGTCGGGCCAGGAGCACTCCTGGCCACCAAGTTCCCTCTTCCCGATCATCTCATTTTTGTTGATTTGGTTCATCCTCACCCGGGGATATCTTCCCATTGATTTTTAGGGAGAGTGGAAGGGAGAGAGAGAGACAGAGAAACATCGATGGGCTGCCTCCCGCACGGGCAGGGGAGCGAGGGCTGGGCTGTGAATGGACCCTGCAGCTGAGGTACGTGCCCTGGACCGGGATCAAACCCGGAAACCTTCAGTCCGAGGGCTGATGCTCTATCCACTGAGCCAAACTGGCCGGGGCCCAATCATCTTAAAAGTAAAAGTAATAGCCCCACATGTGTGTAGCAGGCTCTCAGGGTCCCAGACCGCGTTCACGCATGTCGAACGACCCCGTCCTCGCGGCCTCTCTCGCAGCAAGTGCTGGGTGGTCGCGTGACTACAAGCACTCTGACCCCGAGGCCACCCGGCGTCCTTGGCCCCCCGCGCCCCCGCGCACCCACCTGTCCAGCCGCAGTTGGCACACGATGCCCAGAATGTCCACTTCCCCTCGGGCCTTCAGCTGTTGACAGCCTATGCGGGTGGCGATGAAGCAGCCGGTTCGGCCAATCCCTGCGCTGGATGGAGCCAGGGAGGGGGTGGGGGGTCACAGGTGACTGGGGACGTGGGGCTGGGACCCCCAAACTGACCCACTCTACAGGGGGGACGCGGGGCGGGGCAGGGACCAGGCCGTGGCAGGCAGGAGCCGGCCCTGGACCGGTTACATTTCCTACAGGCCTCGCTCGAAGCCTGTAAGGTCGCCTTCCGGGCTGGGTGGACGCCTGATGAGCTGTTGACAGCGGTTTCCAACGGCCGGACGGTGCCCACGCCGGCCTTGCTGACCCCAGGCCGCCTTATCGGACCAGGACTTCCTCCCGGCAGACTCCCCACAGCTGTCACCCAGCCCCACTCCCGTCTCGGGCCACTCCACGGTTCTCTCTCTTGCCCTCCCTCCTTAGGAATTCTTCCCAGAACCCCGGGGGCCACCTGTGTGTGGGGATGGGGGGGGGGGACATGAGCCCCCCGCCTGCCCCTCGGCCTCAGTGCTCAGCGTTCCGCGTTCTTTAGGGAACGGACCCCAGATGTTGTCCTGGCTTTAAGCGTGTCCCCTGCATGGCCCCCGCCCCCCCAATCCACCTTTTACTTTGTAGCCAAAGGAATTATTTTAAATGGCAAATCCGAGTGTCTTAGCCGGTCCAACGAGGGCCCCAACGAGGTTTTCCAGAATCTTCTCTTATTAAACCCCTTACCCCTTCCCCCCATGACCTCCAGGCCCCTTGGCCTCTAACCACTCGCAGCAATGCATCAATGTGAAAGCTCATCTCGTCTCTGGGCCTTTGCACATGCTGTTCCACCTGCCTGGACCAGGCCCCTTCCCCGCGTCACCTCTCAGGTGTTAGCGTAGCTCAGCCTGCCTTTGTGCAGGGAAACCTTCTCTGGCCAATGTCTGGGTTTGGCTGGAGGGGGGGGCGGGGCCAGGTGCCTGTTCTGGGGGCGGGGCCAGGCGCCTGTGGGGCGGGGTC